CTAATTGTATCCGGAAGCAGCAGGGCCAAGTGGCTGAACTTCAGTGATTTGCCCAAGTAAATGCCTTCTACCTTAGCTCTATCATAGTTACCTCTAGTGGAAAATTTCTCATGTTGCTTAAACTTGTGCACTTGTGTCTCATTAATGAACTAGATACCTTTGAAGGGGTGGGAGAGAAGGCAATTTAGTCTCTTTTCTATGAAGAAAGGGAATATTTGGGAATAGCCAAATTCTTAATTAAAAAATAAGTAGTTTTACAATATCTAGGTTTGTTACATATGACTATGAAATAATATGGGAAAATGGATAGGAAAGCCTCTTTTATTGACAGCTGTGGCCTATCTCCCCTCTAAAGAGCAAAGAAAAATACTCTGTACAAATTATTCCAATCCATATCCCTAAAATTTTATGATAATAAGGCTGATGTGAGTAGCTTTTCACTATGACAGGCTAAAAAAGCACACTACAAAATGAACCTAATGTGTTTAGGAATCCACCTGCCTCACTACTGAAAAGCAGCTACTAAAATGGCACACAATAGGCAGCTCTTCACTGCAGTGCATGGGACTGTAGAAGGGGTGGAGAAGCAGAGTGGGGAATGGAAGCAAATACTCTGCTGCAATCTGCTCGAGGCCTTATGTGTGATTTTACCAGCTGGTATTTTGTTAAAAGCATCTATGTAGCTAAACCCATTCTTTCAAGGTGGGATCCAAGCTCTTTAGTCACTTTCAGAGCTTTGTAAGATGTACTGTGTGTTCTCACAACCACAGGTGTCTGAACAAGCATTACCTGTGCAGCATACTGTACAGTCTCACCGTATTTCCATCTGCTCCTTTGAACAATTGCTCACTTCAGTGTCACTAAACCAGAAGACAGTGGAAGCAGTAACACTGCATTCTCAAACCTCCTAGAACTACTAAAACATTGTCAAGTCAGTTTGATGAATCCCCTTTATGCTGGGCTAATATTCTATGGCTCAGTTCCATGGCAGAGGGTAAAATTGATTTGATAAAACCTAAATATTGTCTGGAACTGCGTCAGTCCTGCAGAGGCTGTCACTGGTGGTCAGGCAGGTAGCTGTCTGGTTTCCCTGGATGGCTGCCTTGCAAAGTGCTGTCTGGCTGGCTCCAGGGTTGCTCAGCTGTCAGGCTCCCAGTCTTCCCAGAGTGCTGGGCTGTTGTTCTGCCTTGCTCGTGGTCTTGCCAGATCACTGGCAGCCTGCCTACCTAGTGGGCTAATTGCCCAGAGTTCCCAGGTCCGCATGTCCTCAATTGCCTTAGCTGGCTGCTAAACTAGCCAGGAGGCTGCGGAGCTCCAGAGTGAGGGCTCCCGGGCAGCCTGTCTGCCTACCAGCCAGCACAGGGAGACGGCTGGGCGGGGGAGACAGGCTTCCCATGACCAGCCTTGCAAACATGGGCCAAGCAAAACCTTTCTGAACATTCCTGGCAGAGAAAAAGAAGCAGTTTTGCTTTTGCATCCTAGTGTGAGATGAGAAATATTTTCCTCCCATGTGCCAGATTACCAAGGGTTTGAGCCTCCCCACACTTCCCTGATACGGCAAGGATAATAACTGGTGGGATCATGTACCAAAAGAAATGGTGGGTTCTCCCTCAGCTAATCACACTAAGGCTGGAAGGTACGCTTCCTGGAGGACACTTTGGTCAATCATCAGATGCTGAGCCTTTTGGTGGTTGTTAAGGGAGGCAAATAAAAGACAGCCAGTTGTTGGCATTTTTACTCTGGAGAAGATGGACATGGAGAATAGTTGGAGCAAGATCAGCAACACTAATACAGAACTAGCAGTGCAGGAGTGAGGGGATCTCGGTAGTTTCTTAGCCATCGCATCTCACTGTACAAACAATCCTGCATGTTCTGGGCGCAAAGGATCCAAACTAAGTGTGCTGAGTAACACCAGCCACTGTTTCATATAACCTTTCATTTTTTTAAGGGCTGCCCCTGCTGTCCATAACTGCGTGAAGACAAAAAGCCAGGATCCAATGGCAATCTATTTTACCAGTGGCACCGCAGGCTACTCCAAAATGGTTGAACATTCCTATGGAAGCTTTGGCCTGGGCTTTTTTCTCTGTGGAAGGTGAAGTATTCAACTAATTATACTTTCACAGCTCTGAAATGTGAAGCAAACAAAAGAGTTTTTGTATGTGATAAAATTATGATAGATGATGAGGCTCCCACAATACTGTACGTGTCATTTCTTTTGATCTCCTCAGCTGAATTGTACCCAGGAAGCAATGATCTTATTCAGTATGGTATATAGCTCCATTTTAGAAACTACTTGCCTGTTCATCCAGGCTATATAACTTATTTAAATAAATGAGTTGGGATACCATTTGATTTTCTTTATCTTTGCCATCAGTATAAGGGCTAGGCAGAAGGCATTTATTTGAGCTCTTGAGTTTCAGCTCAAATTTACCCTGCCTTTCTCAGTTAAAAAAAACCCTCACATTTTTTTAATTTCCACTTGCAGACTCCCTTATATTGGCCACCTTTGTCTTCACCAGATACTGGATGAATCTGACTCCCTCCGACATGATGTGGAACATGTCAGACACTGCTTGGGTACAGGCGGCTCTTGGGAGTGGTTTTGGTCCATGGTTCCAAGGCACTTGTGTTTTTGTACATGCCATGCCACAGTTTGATCCAAGAGCGATCTTAAATGTAAGAAAGAACACCATGCTCACAATGAACAGTTACTCATATTTCATGTTGTTTTCCAGGCAGGCCACAAAACTAAGCCTCTTAGGTTTATGGGATTAGCTGTTTTAAGATGGCGTAACCACAAGGTGATTGTTCTTTGAATAGGAATATAATACAGGAAGGATTTTGCAGCATGACTCTTTGGGCACAGGATATTACCAGTTGCTTCCAATCAGTAGGAGTTACTAGTATTACTTAAACCTCTCCCCTACTGTATTTCACTATTAAAATGATAAATGAGCTGAATTACATGTAAATTAATATTTTTATTATGCTGCTGTGACCCTTAAAAAAGGCAAGTCAGTACTGGAAAACACTGAAGCCTTGAGATTAGCTTGTTCTTAAAAGAAATTATTTTTAAGCTTCTCAAGCCAATCTAAGTTTTAATCTAACACAAAGGGAAGAATTCTGCTCCCAAATGGCTCAAAGCACCTACATGGAAAAGTGTACATTCCTAACGTGTGGGGGTTATTTGGCGATTCTAATCCCATTTCATTTCCTTTCTAAAATGGTAGTTGGTAGTTTGTTTTTTTCTTTTATAAATTTCTTGGCCTTGGAAACACCCACTTGCAATGTCATGGGGTGTCACATCTCTGCACAAAATGAAGTTAGATAGTAGAGGCTGCTTTACCCATGGTGTGGCTGAAGTGAAGGCTGGTGAATGAGAGGTCTTCCTCTTGCTTTTCTTTTTCACTACCTGTCCCCCTCTCTGAGCAAATTCTCATTGCAGGCAAAAGTGAGCTTAAAAGAAAAAAGTAAGGCTTAGCTCTACCTGAGTGACAGTGAATCATCTGCTGGTGTTACGGGTGAGAAATAGATGCATCAGAAAACAGAGGCTGAGCTGAGATCTATATTCTTCTAGCAAGGCACTTGTGTCCCTGTGTTCTGACCCAGCTTAAGGAGGATATATAAATTTGGCAGTCCAAAACAACCTTTTAATACAGAATTACTCTTCAACTCAGCCAGAGCTCTTGGAGATTTGGTTCTGCGCATGTCAGGCCTTTTGTCAGGACAGCTGAGGGAATTGCAGCATGTCCAAAGCTTTTCTTTAGTTTCCTAAAGAACTTGACACTGAATATAAAGGTGACTCTGGTAAGAATTGATGTACACTTTGACCCACTGCCTGGGGAATTATATTCTTTACTTTAACAACATATGTTTAGAGAAAAGGTCCCAGCATCTAAGAACTTTACAACAGTCGTTTACAGAGCTCTTATAAATTAGGAAGCAGAGTTTGAAACCTTTATCATGTATTGCTTAGAACTGTTACTAATGTAAGGTAGAAACAGTCTTTCATCCTAATTTTAAATTTGCTTACACAAAAGCAAATTTTGCTGTGCAGTGCAGGTGTGATATAGCAAGCCTGTAGTGCAGGCAATGCTCACTTGTTCTCAATTAAGTGCCTTGTTTGTTAGGTTGCTGTAGTTTAATTAATGCTGTATTTTTTATTTTCTTTTTGTAGGTGGTAAAAGCTTCTGTGGTCGTCTCCTTCCTTTAAGTCACAAGATCCAAAGAAACTGGCTTGTGAATTGCAAGATCTTGTCAAGAAAGTCACTGCTCCATGCAAATACCCCGGGAAGGTAAGTAAACATGAGTGTATTTAAAAAAAAAAAATCCCAAACACCTATTTCAACCACAGAGAGGTTGGAAACAAAGATTAGGCTCAGTTCAAACTCAGTAACAAAGGAAAAAAGCCCAAATATGTACTGTGCGAGAAAAATGACATATTATTTGAAAGAAGACTTTGGAAAATAATAGATACACCACTACCTAAAACAAAATTGGAGTTATTTCCCCAGTCACCAAATTCTTAATTTAAATACGTAGGATGGAGACCTATGCTGCTCTGAAAAAAATTCTAAATGAAATCTGCTCATTTTAGTTTTTTCCTCTTTTGAATCAGATTGAATTTTTCCAGCAGCTGCCAAAGACAATTGCTGGGAAAATCACTGAGTGAACTGAGGAGCAAGAAGTAGGGACAGATTTAGTTTTGATAAGCAATCTAAAAAAGCCTGTATCTACCAATTTCATCCATAACGAAGCTTTTCTGTTACAACTGTAATTACCAACATAGGGTTTCTCTTCACCCATTAGGCAGTGATTATGTAATAATACACAAGGTTTAAAAACTCCAGCTGTACAGTTCTTAATGCTTGTGTTCTTGCTTAACAAAATTCAAGCCTACTTACCAAGGGATATGCAAACGTATCTTCCAGCCACCTAACGCTTCTCAGAATTACGGTACAAGTAGAAGCGATTCCCAGGTGAAGGATCAGCGTATTCATTCTTTGAGACCAGATATTTAAACTTACAAGAGGATTTTGAATGAGGAAATCATGATAGTATGCAATAAAGTTCCCAGAAATGGCCATAGATCTTGCATGCATCCAAATTAAGCACCCTGCTTGTATGAATCTTGAAAGCCTCAAGATTTAGAAATAAATATGTTAACAATTGTGTTAAGTAAGTGCAATTATGAAAAATCAGAAGAATGCGGACATCTTTAGGACTGCAGCATAGGCAGCATCTAAATGTCAGACATAGGCTTGACAAACGGATGGCAGCTATTCAGCAGTTTCTTCTGAAGACCTATAGGTCCTGCAGACACACAGATGAATGACAGAAAGAAGGGGGAAAAAAAAAAAAAACCAAACCACAAACTATTCATGAGTCTGTCTTTGTCCTTAGTAAGATAAGTAGGCTATCTTGAATAGTTATCACCAACATCAGGCACCAGTAAATACTCAATTTTGGTCTCTGTGCCTGGTCTCAAATGGTTCTTTCCTATGTGTGACCTAGACATTGCTGGGTTTAATCCACACACAAAAAGCTTTAAAATTTAAAGAAAACACCAATGGAGGTAAGAAAGCCGAGTTTTAATAGGTAGGTGGTAAGGGAGACAGGACTAAAGGAAAAAAAAAAAAAAAAAAAGTCTTCTTAATTTTCCAACTTCTAAAACAATTTTGAGAGAAAATATAAATTAACACTGTTGAGAGACTTGAACACATCCATTTCACTAAACCAAGACAAGTAACAAGTGGTGTTCTTCAAGATGAGTCTTTTCCCATTAGCAACCCATAGGCTTTTACACTAGAAATGAAATACTAATGCTAGACAGTTGAACAGGAAGCATACTCATAACCCTACTAGAAAGCAGGTTATAGCTGCACTGGTTTTGGTTGTTTTTGAAAAGTCACTGGGATATCAAAAAAGCTGCTGTGACAAACAGACAACAGACAGACTCACTAACATTACTTTCAATCTGAAAAAAATTAATACTTTAAAGCTAAAACTGTACCAAAAATTAAACTTAATTCCCCTTATGCAGTATGGTAAAATGGATAGCTTCTTTCATAAGAAGTTTCCAAGCAGTATTTAAATGCAAATTTTGAGACCTAAGAAAACAATAAAAACAAAAAAGACTTTATAAACCATCCCTCCCCGGATTTGGAAAGAGCAGCAAAAGGCTTTGCAGGACACTACTCAGAAGGATTCTGTTCAGTGACTACAGCATTTCCCATACACCAGTAACTGCTGTATACACAGCTAATGTAAACACACAGGTAGTTTTTGCTAAAACCATCTGCAATGCCTGCACTGTACTTCTACTGTTCTAGAACAGTCAAATCTATTGCTCTAAATCATCTCATAGTATTCAAGTATTTTGATCATAGGAGTTCTTCCCATTCACTTTCAAGACTTAGCATATCCTTCTAGAGTGATGCATGTATATAGATATGTATATAACCCTCCATCATACAGGAAATTATCAGGTTTAGCTCATTCTGTTGTTCACACAGAAAAATTTATCCGAGTTCTGCAGTCACACGAGTTGTCAGATCACTTCCCTAAAAACCCTCTGCAAGTAACTGTCTTTTTCAGATCTCTCACTATTGTCAATACTTCCTGATAGAGCTGATTCTGCACTGCTTTGACTTCTGTAGCCATCAGATATAACAAAGGAGAGTCAATATATGTCAGGATGGCCACATTCACATTTGCATGCACACACACCTGTTTTTTGTGCTAGTTAAAGGCAATGCAGAACAAAGCCCTAGAAGAATGACAGCAAGCTTCACCAGAAAGGTGACGCGCTCCTGAGCACTCTCATTATCTGCTGTAATGTCAGCTCCACCTGCAACAAGCATTAAATTTCTTACACATGTGGATTTTAAAAACAAGATTTCGAAACAAAACCCACTCTCCTCTTTAAAAGGCCCTTTCAGAACTCTAGGGCAACTTTTTAAAATACGTTTCGATTGTGTTTATCTTTCCCTTCTTCCACATTTTCTACACTGTCAGTGCATCATTCCCCTTGGGCTCGGCTTCTATGTCACCTTGGCTGTTGGTCTCTTGTTTTACTTCTTTTGAGCTCTTCTCGTCTTCCTCGGTTTCTGGTTTTACTACCACGGAGTTCTGGTCTTCTGTCAGATTTGATGGGTTTTGTTGTGCGTCGTCTTTGTTGCTCTTCACCACCTCCTGTAGATTGTATTTTCTGAACAGAACATAGTCTTTCACAACACTCAAGCAACAGACGTTTTTTATTATTTCCACCACAATTGTATATTGTGGGTTATTAAGATCAACTTTGTTTTCTGGATTGAGGCTGCCCACAATTCCTGAAAAACAAGATGTAGTTTAAAAGATGCTGGAAAAACTGTTTCAGAGCATAAGCATGCCCTATTGAAAGGATAAAAGTTAAGAGAGAGAAAGCAACATCCCCTTCAGTTGTAACCAGTTACTCAATTTTGTAATTGCTTAAAATAGCATAACACAGCAGGACTCTCAGAATATACCACCAGTAGGACTGAAGTAATTGAAGAACTATCCCACCAAGAAACAAAATACTCGAGTAAGGTGGAGCTATTTTCTGAGTCATGGATTCAATGGAAATAGTAACACATGGTTTCAATATAGCATCCAGAGAGAAAGCCTGATAGCAGTCATTTCAAAGCACATATAACTGACACTTATATCCAACACTGTATTGGTTCTGCTGGTTGTCTCTTAATACCTCAACACCAAGAAGGAATACTGATGTCAAGCTTTTTCAAGTCTTAGAAAAGCTTTCATAATTCAACATACAGATTTTAAGCAACAAATATGTATGCCCATTAAGACCACTTTTAATAATCTGACCTATGTTATGCATGCAGTTGTGGGCTGCTTATATACTTGTTCTTAGTTCTGTGTGAAATTCATACATACCTGCCAATTCCTTAATTACTTCTTCCCTACTCATATGACTGTTATTACGAGCTTTGTAAACAATCTGAAAAGTACCCTTATTAGGGGCTTTAAACCAAGGCTCAAAAAATGTTTCTGTGTACTTTTTCATATCCTCCATAAAAGCCTTGCAAGTTCCAGAAATGGGCAGCATGCGCAGAATGACTCTTGTCTTCTTCTTTTTAGTGGCATGCATGTCCTTTAATATATGGTGCACCAGGTTCTCAGGTTCTACAAGAAAAACAGCTAGGTATGAGAAACAAATTCAAGGCATTTTCTCCCTTCTTCCCACCTCTAAATAATAAGCTGGGGAAATGCAAGCCTGGCTGCACTGCTATCAGCCTCAAATCCTTTTCTGTAAAGAGTTGTTTTACTATACCAAAGCTGAATAATGAAAGATTATTTTGTCAAAGCAGATTCCTCTACCCTTAGAGACTCCGCTAATGACAAAATTCCATGTCAATGCCAAAGGGAAGGGGAAACCCTGCATTTGTTTGGTACACATGGGTTTCTTGGAAGTCATGCTCTGTGGCATGTTACTAGCACTGTTCAGAGCAGATTATGCCCACAGCATTACGCAGCATTGGCTGACATCCCACCTATGCCCTGGGTTCTAATGAAGACCACGTTGTTGGCACCGCTCTCCACAGACTGGAACCGCCGCAGCTTCTGCTCTGTCGAGGCACGGATCTGGCCGACCTCCTTCTTCAGGGCAGCCTCAACATCATCCTCATCCTCCTCCCTCTCACTTCCAGACAGCCGCTCCTCGTGATCTGAAAACTTCACACAAGGCACGTCTCTTGTTTGGTGAGTACCGAGCAACAGTGCCCACACCTTAAACACCCCCAGCGAGGCACCACCACGCGCACGGGCCCAGGGGTGACGGGCAAGGGCCTCTTCTCCAGCCAACCCGCGGGGCTGGGCTTTGCAGGCAGGAGCCGGCATCTTCCCGTGGCGGTGACCACAGGCGGGTTTTTGTACGCACAGGAA